GCAGCAGCCACAGAACAGACCAATCAAAACTAGACAAAAAATGCATCAAATGCATTATCTTTCATTAAGTACTATAACTGAACCATCTCTAGATATATATTGCCTTTATCGACTCGACTTTTGGCCATGCCGCATAAACCCGCGTATTCCCGACACCAAGGAAACAAAACAATTAAAATCCAGCTTTTCCACTCAATTGGCAGCTTTTCTTGTGTTGCCAGCGAATGTGAGCGCGTGGGGAGGCGGCACCAGCAGCAGCAGCAAGCAACATGTTGCCCCTGTCATTGGTTGCACACAGCCAAAGAGTGTGAAAGGGAGAGAGAGAGAGAGAGAGAGGCAGAGGCAGTGGCAGAGAGAAAAGTGATTGTTGTAGGCGTACTTTTATAAAGAGTTTTCTGTGTTTAGGTTTTCACTCCCTCCCTCCCTCCCTTCCACCGCCATTCATTATTTTATCGTATCTTGCTCCTCTTCTTGCCACCAACCCCCGTTGGAGCTGCTGCGGGGGTGGGGTGTGGGGTGAGGGCAGGGCAGGGCTCTGAGCAAATGGCGTTTTATTTTATTAGCCATATTTCTGCCTGGTCATGCTTTGTTTGCTTTCCACTTGCAATGGAAGCTCTCCCACTCTCTCACTCTCTCTCTCCCACTCTCTCTACCAATCGCCCTCTCTCTGTCTCTGTCTCTGTCGTCAGGCTGTCGTCTCTCTGCTGTCCATTATCAATGCATATCACGTTGAATGCTGATGTTTATGATGTCGTTTATTGCTGGCAAAGACAAGTCCGAAGCAAAGAGAGTGAAGTGTGGCTTAAATGGCGTCAGAGACATTTGCCAGATTAATGGCCACAGCGCTTGTCCGTCTCTGTGTGGAGTGTTGCTTTGGGGCTTTATAGCCGAGTGTGTACTGTACACAGTGTGCTGTGTAAACCCCTCGTTGAGCGGCGGAGGGGGGCGGACTGCGCAGGGGGGCGTGTCAGGCACCAACAATTTGTTTACATTTTAATTTCTGCAATTTTGTTTGGTTAACTTTGTGTGTCGTCGACTGAGAGGGAGAGGGAGAGGGGGAGTACGTCGACGCCATGCCACATGGAGGCCCACATGGGAGGCTCGACGCGGCTTATCGCGGCGACGTCGGCTACGGCTACGGCTACGGCTGCTACCACACATGTATGTTTGTCTGCGGGGGTGGGGCGGGTGGGGCTACCTCTGCACTCCATTGCTACACTGCTAAAACTTAATCTTCAACTGCTTCCAACTGTTTCCACTGTGCGCTTAATAAGCGTGACAAATGCCATGCAAATCCAGTGGCAACTCTGCCAACGCGAGGGTACAGTCTGCCGCCTGTCAGGCTGTTGCCAGCATCATCATTATGGTGAGGATTCTGTTTCGCTTTTGTGTGAATTTTCTGTGCATTTTCAGTGTTAAATGTGCAAAGAAAATTAAGGGAAAACTGCAACAACAACAAAAAAAATGGAGGGCAAACCTTTGGGAGTACAGTCTGCTACCTAGGGTTGCCACTGCTGTTAACTCTTAGCCAGAGTTGCTTCTGGTTGTGACAATTTGTTGTTGTCATCGTTTGGCCATGAATCATATTTCCCTGGCATTGCATTTTCAGTCTTCAGTCTTCCCGCTTTGCATTTTCAGTCTTCTTGTTATTTTTCTTTCTTTTATTTTTTTTCTTCTTTTTTGCAGTTTTCAGTGCGAACAAAGCCGCGACAGCAAATCTGTGGCCCGTTGGCTTTTTTGCAAGTTTTCGCCGCTGGCATTGTGTGAGCGCCATTTAGTGGCTGGCTGGGCTGCGACTACAGCTGCTTCCTCATTCCCTCACTGGGTGGTTGGCTGGCTAGCTGTCTCATTGTTTAGCGCAATTAAGCAAGTGTCCGCTGCCGCTGCACCATTTCGCACTTGCGTTGCACTTATTTCAGATCTCATTTACGGGGCATACGACACGACACGAAACGCCGCTCCAGCCCCATGCCCCTCCCCATGTCCCCCGTTCCACTTTGCCAAGCCCCAAACATTTGCTTACAAGCATGTTTCGCTGTCCGATCTTTGGCGCTGTTTGCTTGCGACTCCACGAGCCATGTTTAACACTCTCCGCTCGCCGTTACGTTAGTGGGGTTATTCGGTCATTCGATCTGCAAGTCCGTTTACGCATTTCCATCAGTTCTATCAAGAGATTTTCCTTACTTCCCCCCACCCAGTGGCACTCCATCCTCCACTTGCGGCATTAAATTAACACTTAATTTGGGATAATTTCACACCACGTCTCCATCTCCAGCTCCATCTCCATTTGGGACTCTAACTTTGTCCTCGCTTCGAATTTGACTCCTGGCAGCATTCCCTATTCTTTTAACCCCTCCCCACAAATTTTAAATATAATTTCACACAGCTAAAAGGAGAAAGCGAAGAGTTCCATACCCTGTCCTGACTACCAGTACCCTGTTCGGTAGCTACTGCTCCTTCGGCTGCTCTCCTTCAAGTTGTCTCCGCACGGACTCTCCACTCTCTTCTCTCTCTTCTGCCGTAGTTGTAGGCGCAAACTGAAATTTTCTCTTACGTAAAAATATCTTGAACTGATTTCCACATTTTTCGCTCCAAGCTAATGTACTCTACTCTACCGCAAAGGGTATACAAACTTCCATAGATCTGCATGTGTGTGTGTGTGTGAGTGTGTGTATGTAAATGCAGTTAAACTTTTGCCAGGCCATTAATCAAAAATCTCGACAACTTCTTCCCCGTTACACTGCCTCTCCCTCACTCTCCTTCACTTGCTACCATTCTCACAATCCAATTCCCGATTTCGCGTGCTAACAAGACCCGAAAGCAGCAGCAGGCAGAAGGGCAGAAGGGCAGAAGGGGCAGAAGGGGCAGAAGCGAAGCCAAGAGAGTGGAGAACTTTCAGTGGCGTGAAAATTTATGTTTTTTATATTTTTATGAGTAAAAGGAGCGTAGAGAAAGAAAACACACAGATGGAGAAGGAGGGGCTAAAAGGGAAAACTACAGTTGTAAAGTTTTCTCTCACATTGCACATCGCACCGCAGTGTAGCATAGTGTAGTGTAGTGTTGTGTAGTGTTGTGTAGTGTAGTGTAGTTGTCAGCATTGCGCTGTTTAATTACCCTAATTAAGAATATTAATTGCCCTTCGGGTGACCCTGTTCCAGGAAATAGAACATGAATTATGATATGGCGGGGTGGGGCGAGGCGAGGCGAGTGAAAAGCGGACAAAAACTTTCTGGCCATTTTGCCAATTAAAGTTGGAAAATCGAAAAAGTTAAAAAGGGAAAACTTTAAAGCAAAGTCGAGTCCAGTCCACAAAGGACAAAGGACACGCACTCCATTAAGCCAAAGGGCGGTGGGGGGGAGCAGCAGACACACACACACACACATATGCGGATATGCGACAACAATAACTACAGCAATCGCAGGCCACTAACGTGGCACGGGGCACAAGCATGGGTCACAAGCATGGGGCACAAGCAGTGAGGACAGCACAGGACAGGACAGGACACTGTTGGACACAGGTGTCCATGTCGGGGTCGGTGTTGGGGGGGTGCCGTACCCATCAACACCTCCAACCTCTCAACAAACACAGCAGACGGGAGATGGGAGACGAGAGACGGCAGACCGTATCCGTACTCTTTTCATTTTCTCAACACGTAAAGCAAACACGTGACCGTTAAGGACATGGACACGCCGTCGTCGTCTCCTCCGCACGGACTCTTCACTCTCCACGTCTCTCTCTTCTCTTCCCTCTCTTCTGCCGTAGTTGTAGGCGCAAATTGCAAACAGAAGGACAACCAGGAAGGACAACGACAACGTACCCCATAAACTGACGGCTTATGGCAGACAGAGCACAAAGCTCCCAGCTCCCAGCTCCCAGCTCCAGCTGCAGCTCTTCTTCTCTTGGGGCAGGCAGTGGTGGCGGTAGGGGTGGCGTGCGTGTGTGCACAATATTCATATATCACAAGGATAAGCGCAATGCAGCAAACGTCCTTCCAGACGTGCTGTCGCTCCGGTGCCTTGTGCCGTGCCTTTGCGGGGCTACTGCTACTGCTACTACTGCCAACTGCTTTGCGAGGCATGTGGCATGTAGCATGTAGCATGTATGTGTGTGTGGTAACTTTTAATTATTTGCGAATGTTGGCGCCAGACGGCGATGTGCGATGTGGCGATGTGGCGATGCGATGCTGACTTGTCCTGTCCCCTTCATTGATTTCTGTTTGCCTGCTTTCCGCTGACCAGAAGGAGCGCCGCAGCGACGCTTAGAGGGAGGCGCCCAGGACTTAGACTCGGACACCCTCCTGGAGCCACACAATCGGTGCCGTGCCCCCCCCCCGGTCAAGGCACCAGGCAGCAGGCACCAGGCCAGTGGCAGTGGCAGCCCCATAAACTTTGAGCGCCATAAAATCTGCTGGCAGTGCAATAAAAATTCCCTCAGCGGGAGAGTTTGCAGATTGGACGAACAGACGGACGGACGGACGGACGTACGTACGTTTTGGCTCCCTTCTACGGCTCCGACTCTCTCCCGGAGAAACGCATAAAACTAACGCAGCGTAAACGCCGCCGTTGTCATCTGTCTCCTCGTTCCGTTCCGTTCCTTTTTTTTTTTTTTGGCAGCTTCAGCACAAAAATTTATCTTATTTATTTGTTTGACTGAAGGCCAAAGACTCAGCTCCACTCCACTGCACTGCACTGGGAAGCCAAAGCCAAAGGGAATTTGCTGCATTTTGATGCTTGACTGATTGCCACAGTCCAGCCATGGGTTTAACTTCTTCATTTTTGGGAATTGGTCCAACTTAACCTCACAATAATTGCGGCGTGGTGCGGGGGCGCCTATCGAACGATCTGGTAACGCTGCACAGTTCAGGTGTAGACTTTCAGCCAGACATAGAGAGAGAGAGAGGGAGAGAGAGAGAGAGAGGAGAGTGTGTAGAGTTCGGGTGGGTGTGTTAGAGCAGTGCCACTAGCTTTTTCCTTCGTGAAGTTTCGACGTCTAAAAAGCAGCAGCGCAAAAGAATTTTTATTCCATTCCTTTTCTGCAGGAAAATTCGAAAGAAAGTGTGCAACAAAAAATACACAGGCCATAACAAAAGGAATTTTGGAATTAAAATTAAAGCAATTAAAAGTTATCTTTGAAGTTCAGTTCTCTCGTTTCCTTGGCCAAGTTACGAATTGCGAGGCTATCCATGGAAGTGTTGGTAGGTTTCGATTAAAGAGAGGAATCAACAAAAGTGGACAAAATATAATTGCAATTTCTGCAGCAGATTTGGATGCGAAATGGAATACATAGGGAAATTTGTGCGCCTGTGCGGCAAACAGCTACAAAAAGTGCACCGCACACGCGCGTACGCATGCAAGACTTTTGGTGTCTCAAAAGAGGAGACACACGCACACACAAAACACACACACACACCTAACACACACATATATTTATTTACAAACTTCAGTTATGCAAAAATAGTGTGAAATTGTTCAGAAAAATTGATGAAAGCTGTGAAATGTGTAAACAAAATTAAGGAGAACCTTAAAAAAATAATTTTAAAAAAATATGTAGGTGCTTTTCATGAATATTTTTCGAGTTCATATGGGGAAAATACTCACAAATAAATATGTATGCATGTTGTAAATGTATGTAACACCAGATGTGGAAGATGTGGAAATTTGGTCAGATATTGAGATTGAGAATCAAAGGAAAACTTGTGCAAATAATATACGCGAAACATATTTAAATGCTTCAAGTGTTTGTGGTGCAGTGTTTCGAATTTAGTTAAAAGGAATTTTAAAGGAAAAAAATACTCACAGTTTTCACGCGTTTGTGAGCAGGCTGAAGAGGTCGGTATCCCCGCCCAGGCAGGGGGAAGAAGAAAAGCAAAAAAAGCCTGAAAAGTGTAAAAAAAAATTCAGAGATAATTATAAATGTATATTTAAATATAGATAATACATAAAATAACAACATAAAATAAAATTCATTGGATATTTTCCTTTTATTTGCAGTCGAAAAAATCCCGTCAGTGCGCCCGCAAGAATCTTCGTCCGCTGAAGCTTTACGAGCGGCGTCTCGTGTGCCGCCCCATTTTGTGGCAGCAGCAGCCGGAGCAGCAGCCGACGCCGACGACAAGTCCACAAAAAGTTGACCTCATGACGATGGCAGAAGGCACCGACCCCATGGGGCATCATCATCACGCCGCCGGCACGCACAATCCGCACTACCATGCCCCGCATCCCCATCACCATCCACACCAGCCGCACCACCATCCGCCGGCGCCGCCAGCACCGCACCACCAGCAGCACCAGCAATACCATCCCCATGTGTATCCACCGCCCCCCGTGGCGGCGGCAGCGGCCCACTCCCACTACGCGGCCCAGCTGCAGCAGGGCTATGCGCATCCGCACGGTGGGGGCATGGGCATGGGCATGCCACTGGCCCTGAGCCTGCACCAGCAGGCGGCGGCTGCAGCAGCCGCTGCGGCAGCGGCTGTGGCCAGTGCCGAGCAGCAGAACAACAACAACAATCAGCCGTGCGTGGCCAACAACAACATTGCGGCAGTGTCGTGGAAGCAGCGCAAGCGGAAGCGCCTCTCGGCGGTGCTCGACCAGCTGCACCACAACCACAGCGACACAATCGAGCGGAGGAGCAGCAGTCGCAGTGGCAGTCCCCAGTCGCAGAGTCCCTCGCCACAGCCGCTGAGCAACGGCCTGGCCGCCTGCAAGACGGAGCCCATGGAGGAGGACGAGGCGGCCGATCACGAGGGGCAGGAGTCTCGCGATGAGGATGAGGACGGCGGGGAGGATGACTCCATGGAGCAGCAGCAGCGGGAGCACGAGCAGGAGCAGGAGGAGGCTAAGTACATCAAAAGCGAGCACACAGCCAGCGATGGGGAGGAGGAGGCGGCTTCCGCGGAGGACATCTCTGGCGAGGATCTGGATCTGGAGCTGTCGCACAGCGACAACGACAACGACAACGATGGCAACGACAGTCCGCGCATCAGCATGAGTCCGCTGCAACTGCAGGCTGCCGCTGCCGCCGGGGCCGGGGCCGGGGCCGGGCCCGGGACTGGCGTTGGCCCAGCCTCCGGTGTGGCGCCACATCAGGTGCCGGTCCCCAAGGAGAATCCACTGCATGTGGAAATCAAGACTGAGATCCCCAATCCCTACGATCGCTACTTCCCCATCCACTCGCCGCTGTTCGGCTACTATCTGCACACCAAGTACTTGAACGAGGTGTTTCGGCGGCGCCACGATCTCTACCCCTCCCCGCTGCAGCACACACCCTCCTCCATTGCCAGCGAGACGGAGACGTCGCCCACAGCAGCAGCAGCAGCAGGAGGAGTCGATCGAGTCGATCGCAAGGGATTCGGACCGATGCCGAGTGCCAGTCAGCTGCTGCCACACGCTCTGCTGGCGAATGCCTCGCCACCGCCCTCGCTGCCGTCGCCACCGCGCAGCGAGTCATCGGTGCCCACTGGTGGAGGGGCAAGCAGCGCCACCACCACCACCACCACGACGACGAAGACGTCGCGCGGCACCAAACCGCCGTCCGAGAAGAAGAAACGGGGCGACAAGAAGAAGCCCATGCCGCCGCCACAGGAGCGTCCGCTCGATCTGTGCGTTCGCAGCGAAACGGAGATCAAGAAGTACAAATCCGCCGCCTCTCCGCCGAGCGCCTCGATGATGCCCCCACCGGCGGCATCCTCGGCCGCCTCGATGAGTGCCGCCAGCAGTGTGGAGAGCATGAATGCCCTGTCGCCGGCCTCCAGCAGCCACTCGGGCCACACGCCCACCTCCGCCTCCGGCAGCCATGCCGCCCCGCCATCATCGAATCAGCAGCAAATGTCGCCGTATGCCAGCGCCATGTCAGCGGCCCATGCAGCAGCGGCGGCAGCAGCAGCGGCCATGATCAAAATGGAGATGCATCCACATCCGCATCAGCATTCGCATTCGCTTCACCCGCACCACATGCATCCGCACTCCCACTCGCACTCGCACTCGCATTCGCACCACTCGTCGACAGTGGGTGTGCCGGTGATCAAGGGGGATGTGGCATCGCCCACCACCAAGGAGACTGTCGCCTGGCGCTACAATCTGGACGTGTCGCCGGTTGTGGAGGAGATGCCGCCGGGCTCGGATGTGGCATATGTGTGCCCCACCTGCGGGCAGATGTTCTCGCTGCACGATCGCCTGGCCAAGCACATGGCCTCGCGGCACAAGTCGCGCAATCCCGCCAACGACATTGCCAAAGCGTACTCCTGCGACGTGTGCCACAGATCCTTTGCCCGCTCCGATATGCTGACCCGGCACATGCGACTGCACACGGGCGTGAAGCCGTACACGTGCAAGGTGTGTGGCCAGGTGTTCTCCCGCTCCGATCATCTGTCCACCCACCAGCGGACGCACACGGGCGAGAAGCCATACAAGTGCCCCCAGTGCCCCTATGCGGCGTGTCGCAGGGACATGATCACGCGCCACATGCGCACACACACGCGCTACGAGTCGCGGGGCGGCGAACGGGGCAGTGGCAGTGGTCGTGAGAGCCGTGAGGGTCGCGGCGGCAACATGGAGGAACAACCAGCACAGGAGTCGCCGCTGCCGCTGATGGACATGAAAATGAACATGAACATGGGCATGGGTATGGGTATGGGCATGGGCATGGGCCTCAATATGGGTGGGCATGGCCTGTCGCCGATGAACATGAGCCTGTTGCAGGAGGAGCTGCTGCAGAAGTCGTCCGCACAGGCAGGACTCAGCCTGGGCGGGCCCATGCCCATGGTGGTGAAGACGGAGAGCGCCTAACAGCGGCGGCTCTATCTACAATATGCGGCAGCCTCGAGGCAGTACATGACCTTCTAAAATGGGGGACGGGGGCAGGACACACACAAACACACACACACACTAAATACACACTCACACAAAACACACACACCCACAGACACTTTTTTGATTAACGGAAATCTCTGCGAAGACTGAGGAAAACCTAATTACTACCTACAGTTTAAAGATATAGAATTACGATCCCCCAAAATACACACAAACACACAAAGAAGAGAACAAAAGAGAGAAGAGAGGAGAGCAGACCTACCACCCACCATCCAACGTATTAGCGATTAAAACTTAGGCTTCTTACTACTAGTTCTTAGCGTTTTAAAACTATGATTCTAGTTCTAGTTCTTAGCGCGTAGCATGTGGCAGAGAGAGAGAGAGAGCGAAAGAGAGCGAAAAAGAGAGAGAGTGTGTGGCATCTTCGTGCGGATACAGCTAGCAAATTCCATGTTCCACAAATAAAAACTTAGCATTAAGTTCCACTTCGGGTGATCCCCGCTCTCGGGGTGGGATCTCTCCCAGCATTTTCTTGTTAGGAAACATTTTTGAAATTATTAAGCAACGAAATGACTACGAAAATCACTCGCTAAAAAAACAAAACACAGCTATAGGGTATATATTGTATTGTATTGTAGGGTATACACGGGGTCTCAACGCACAACCGCACAAAAAGGCATTAGGCTTAGCAACTTTTAAACATAAACATTTTAATTCTAATTTTACTTATAGAATTCTCTTAATTTATTTATATTTAAAACAAAACAAAAAACTCAACAGCAAAAACACATAATTTCGTATTAATTTAAATATTTAATTTTTAAAACAAAAGACAAAGAATTCTCCCAAGGGCACAACAAAAAAAAAACCAACAAAAACAAAAACATTTCCATTTTTCGAATCGAGAAAATTCTTTGAAAAAAATTCCTTTCCTTTTTTTTTTTGTTCAACAAAAATTATTTTTGAAAATTGAATATTTTATTCCAATACTTTTTTGTTTTCATGAAATGAAATTAAAAACAAACCAACAAAAAACCTTTAAGTTTTCTTTACCCCTCCCCCGCGCTCTTTTTAAAGGGTGGGGTTCGTTTTCAACGTTGAAGTTTTTCGTTATTTATTATTGGAAGCGCCCTCGCCCGCGATTATTGATTGATTAATTGATTGATTATTAGTTTGTACGCATTAGAATGTTTAAATAAATTATTAACTTATGTTATATTAGTTATTCTAGTTATTGGTTATGATTATTATTACGTTTAGCGATTAGTTCCACAAACGTTTTTCACAAAAATAAAAGAAACAAAAAAGAAAAAGTCTACCCCCGCGAGGGGGATACAAATGGCATACAAACACACAAAACAACAATCACATTTGAATTATTATTTATCAGAATTATTATTTTTTTGCAGTGTGCAACATTTTTCGTCGGTTTGATTTGGTTTGATTTGATTTTTCAGACTTAAAACTGAAGATATGAAAGACACCATTTAATTCCTTACATTTGGGTATTGTTTCTGGCTACGAAAATGGTTTTATATGCTTAAGTTTTCTTTGATTTTTAGATGGAGTTTCAAAGATATATTTCATGCTTTCTTTTCGAATATTTTTGCCCAAGCTTGTCTAAAAACAGGGTCTAAAAAGTGTCGTATTTTAATTGATATTCAGGAATTGAGTTTATATTTTTTTTTTTCCACAAGTCGTTCTTGTTCCTGTAATCTCTTATGTTCTATGATTTTTCCATGTTTTAAAGTGAATTGTGGCATGCGGCAACATTCATCAACTCTGAACCCTCAACACTCGCGTATCGTTTCAGATTTAGCCATGAAGATATATACACGTATTCCATGCATATTTCCTTACATTTCGCTTGGTTTTTTGCTTTGTTCTGTTGGTTTTTTTCTTCGCGGCAAAACACAAATCATTTCAACACCCGCCGCGACTTTGGTTTCTATTTGCACTATTTTCAGTGATTTTTCGGATTTTCCCTTTGCCCACTTTTTGGTTAAAATATATATTCCACCTTTTGCTTTATTTTTCGGTTTCCCCAAAGATTTTGTGGTTGGAGCCGGTAGGAGCCTTAGAGCCGGAGACGGAGCCGGAAACTGGCTTACAAGCTTTTAGGCAATGGGAATCGCTTACAAGGTGGAGGCAGGCAGCCGTCGCTCGTCACGAAACTGCACTGTGGCACGCAGGCAGCCAGTGCCAGTGCCAGTGCCAGTTCCAGTACCCGTCCCCACTCCTTCTTCTGCTCTGCTTCCATGTGCTATGGCTTTTCGGCAAGTTTTCCCACGCTTGTGGGGGAGGAGAAGAGGCAAAGTCCTTGTTCTGCGACATGGAAATTTCTTGGGGCCTTAATGTCCCGACAACACGAAGAAGGCCAGTCGTGGGAGTTGCAACGTGTGGTGTAGGGTGTGTGCAGTGTGTGCTGTGTGTGTGTGTGCAGTGTAGGGGGCATGCCACCACTTGCTGCATTGCAGTTTGCGGCTAATGTTTGACCTTGTTTTCCAATGACTAAATTAATTCCCTCTAATAAGTGAACGGCAAGAGGCAGGGGGCACGAGGCTGGGGGCATGGGCAGGGGCACGAATGCACAAAACAAACACGAAACTGCAGACATGCCACCCACTTGCCCCATGCCCCACACCGTCACTGCCACTGCCTCTGTTTGTGTAATTAAGCAGTGAAAATGCTTTTGGTGGCATACAGCAATTGACAGACATTGTGTCTGGGGGCCGCCACTCCTTTCCTGCGCTCTTGCCGTTGCCCCATAAATCAGGTCGCAGGGGCAGCTAAGTAGCCTCCATGTTGCACTACATCAACCAGTCCCTTGCCCCGTTTTAGACGGGGCAGTGTCGGCTGACTTATGTGGCAGAGTGTATTAGCCGTGGAGCCTACAGCTCGAAGAGAAGAGATGATGCCGCATTGCATAATCCGTTGCACACGCCTGGTCGTGCATCATTTTGGCCGCTGACATTATTTGCAACGCGCTTGCAACGCTCTCCGCTCCGCTCTGCTCTGCTCTGCTCTCTTTTTCTCTGTGCATTTTGTGTTTGTTTCTATTCTGTGGCACGCATAAATCTCTAAACAACGTAGTGCGCCGTGCCGCGCCGCACTGCACCGCGTGTCGCGTGCGTTTATTATCACTTGCTTTCTGGCGAGGGGAGCGAGGGTATAAAGAGTGGGGAGATCCAGCTTGTGGCATTCATCCAACTTTCCTTTTGTCTCCGTGTGAGCGGATGGTCGCAGATTTATGGCCATCATTTGTAATTGTAGCGCGAAAATTGAGTTTGAAGTTTGGTCAATGGGTGGGGGGGGGACACAGGGAGCCACAGCAAAAGGGTCCTACAAGGAGAGGCTTGTGGCAGGCATGTGGCAGGCATGTGGCAGGCATGGGTGGCATGGTATGCTCCATTGTTTCCATCAACATAATTCTCTCTCTTCAGACGTGTTTGCATGTGATTCGGGGGCATTGATTGATGGCAGATCACAGCCAACAAAACAAAAAAACACACACGATGATATTGTACATAGAAAAACAAACGCCCAACATAAACCATTGGACATGGGATATCTATCTAAAGATTAGATATGTGTATGTATATTAGATTTAGTACTATATATTTCCGTCACACGGAAGTGCCTTAAACAACAACAATTTTTGATACTCTTAACAGCAACAACAACAAAAGAACAAAACAAAAAAAACTCCTGTAAGATAGAATTTTATGCATTGTACATTTGAGCGACTTTTGCCATTGGAATATTAATCAATTTTTTGACTAAATAAATGAAAAAAAATACACGCCGCTCCTATGGAAAGGGGCGGTGCGGGGGAAATATAAATATATATTTACCAGATATATGTACGTAACAAATATTTTTAAACGAATTAAAAATATTGCAAATATTAGTGTTAAGATTTTTCACTTTAACGCTTCTGAGAAGTTACAACAATTTTAAGCATTAAATGCTTTTTGCCTACAAACTAAATACAACAAAAATACAAAAACTCCTTAAAAAAATATATATATAAAAAAAAAAATAAGGAATTTCCTTAAAACAAAGAAACAACCGAAGATAATTACTAAAAAAAAAAAAAAAAGAAAAAAAAACATTCCTAACAAAATAAATTTTAACAAGACGAAAAGAAATAAAATTAAACCTAAAAAAAAAATCAAGAAAACTTTTACTCAAATCGCTTTGTCAGACATATTTTCATAGTGCTTTTCGAATTTTAAAAGTGGAAAAAACCAAAAATCTAATAGCAATAAAATGTCTACTGAACAAAAACTTAAAAATAAAAAAATCTCTAATAAAATTATGTAAATTAAAAGCAATAACTAAACGATAGCTAATCGATTGATCAAAAGACTTTTCCAGAACTTCTTAGCTTACTCTTTGCCTTTTAGATCTTAAGTAATTCGAATCAAAATATATATACATATAATATGAAGAAAGATCTAATGAAGTATAATACAGAGAATTTTACCAATAAATTAAAGCCGTGCTATGAGAGAGAGAGAGAGAGAGAAGTGAGCGAGAGAATCAGTGAGCAACATTGTGATATTAGTTGAGAAAACAAAATCGAATCACTTCCAAAATGCTATTTACCATATAATTTATGAGGGGAACGACGATCCCTAACGGTGATCCCCAAAGAACCTAAGACCTTCCCCCACCCCATTCCTTATTCTTCCCCCCCCCACATCGTTTAAGGTGCAATCCAATCCACTTTTCGATATTTTCTTGTGGTGCTATTTGTAAAGAACAAAACGCTTTGGTTTAAGCCTCGTTTAGGCCTAAGTTTAAACCTCGCTTAGGCCTAAGTTTAAACCTCGTTTAGGCCTAAGTTTAAGCCTCGTTTAGGCCTAAGTTTAAGCACCGTTTAGGCCCTAGTTTAAGCTTGTTTTAAGCCCTAATTTAAGTTCGATTCCACAGACAATCCTTAGCTGTTTATGATTACGATATGAAACACTCTTAGAACTCTCTTTAAAGTCCAACTAAATTATGAATAACACACGAGTATTTCCATTAGGATTCCTCTCTAATTAGTTTTTTTCTTGTAAAACAACAAAATACCAAAATAAATAAACGAAATGAAGGAGCGACTGCTTTTTGGAATGCGCGGATAATGTAAAATGTGTTCAGTGGTGCCCTGCCCTACACTCCCCACCCCTACAGTGGTTGCAATCAGAGGTAGGGTGTGGCAAAAGGGCCAGATGATGCCACCAGCAGGAAGGTGAAGCGGTGGCG